AAAAGGAAAAGAAAATGAGATGCAGGAGGAAGAGGAATAAAATATAAAACTGCCAGACATCTTTCTGGAATTTCCAAAGGCTTCTAAGTAGTTGAGCCTCTCTCCCCCGTGCCCTCTGTTACTTGATAGGAACCACCGTCAACTAATCTCTTACAGGATAGTCTAAAAAGAAAACAAGTTTTTCTTACTTAAAAAAAAAAAAAATGTGTGAGTGATAAGCTAGTCACTGAATTGCAAAGACCAGAACAGGTTTCTAAGGTATTTAAATGGGAATTTTCAGAGCAAGTAGAGAGACTGCAGGGTATTACAGACAGCCCCCCCCCCCCCCGCATACTTCTTGACTTTAGTTTGCTATCTTCCTGTGATTATACTAGAGTATCAATTCATAGATTTTTATCTTTTATAATTCTGGAAAAAAATTGTTAGTTTTGTAAATTTTCTTAAGAACAGATATATGTATTTTACTAGCTCCATTGCATTAGAGAAGTTTAACCCAGTGAGTTGTGAAATTTATTATCTCCAGGCTGTTGGTGTTGAGAGCTATCAAATTTTTTTTTTAAAGCAACCTTTCTGGCTGTCAGAGGGCAGGACTTGAAGTTACATTGCTGATTCCAAAAGCTGGCTCTTAAAAAAAAAAACTTTTTTAACCCAAAGAAAAGAACAATAAAAAAACCCAAACAAGAAAACAAGAAAAACCCAAAAAAAAGTGTAAATTCTTAACAATAAACCCAAATTAGTGTGTTAATTTAGGATTTAAGTACTGATATTTTATGATTTATTTTCAGGTTAGCCTCACATGACTTGCAGGGAGAGGTTTGATTTGTGATTTCTCCAGCTTAAATGGATATTTTGGATCTTTTTTCTTTTTTAAGTTGTTGAATCATTTTACCACATAGTATAGTCTGCATGTATAGTTAGTAAAACATATATTGCCCTATATTATAAATATAATGTACACTTACATTACTTTAAATATAAGCTATTTAAAGAAAGTTCATAGTTGTTTTTACCTGCCTTTTAACTCCAGTCAGGCTTCTTTTCTTTCAGAGAGAAATGCATGCTCTAACTTGGCTTGCAAATGTTTGTAGTTTGCAGATCTTAGTTGATATTAACTCTAATTGTTAGGTAGACTTTTGTTACTTGGAAAATTTTGGACATAAATTTAAATAAATCTGTAAAGTCTGTATATTAGGTGGCTTTACTGAATTTTTTCCTGTGATTGAATGTGGGCTGAGTTTTGAAAAACCACATTTGCCTTTATGCTGGATTTAAAAAATTATAATGCATGAGACATTTTCCTTTATATGTTAAACCTTTCTTAGCATTTTGTATTTATATGTTATCACTCTGCATTTTAAATCATAATTCAGTTGGATAGAATTATAACATGTGAGAAATAGATTGGTCTTTATAAACCAGGGAAGAATTGGAATTTTCTCGTGAGTAAACACACTTTGTTGCCAGAATTTAGTATGATGTACCGCATTCTTTTTCAGACTACTAAATCTTAATGTAATCAAATGTCTTCAGGATCTGTATTGTGAACAACATTGACAACTGCTTTTGTTTTAAGGAGTGGTTATTTTTAAATACGTGACTTCTGTTTTAATGTCAGAATCAAAGGTATACATAAAATAGATTTGCCAATGTGCACCTTAAAGTCAAAAATCCAAGAACTTAGAAACACTGTTTTGTTTGGTTTTGTTTTGTTTTTTCAATGAAACACATGGGGAACTCAAGTGAATCAATAAAAAAGCAGTTAAGACATTTTGTTCTCAGCATTGCTTCTGTGTTGAGTATGGGATTGGTTACATTTACATCTTGCTAAAATTCCATTCTGTTCAGTGGGATTGCAGTTTGTATACGTTTCAAATGTCAGTTCCTTTTCTTTTACATTGTATGATTATTCCACACCTGCAAACACCCTAGTGTTGGCATATCCAGCACATGTAGAAGTGAGTTTATCAGATGCCATCCCAAAGCTAGACTCAGATTGGCCATCAAAATCCATCACCATCAGATTACCTTCAAAACAGTACATTATTCTAGGAGTCTGTGAAAGAGCCTGCTTTCATTTAATTAACAAAAAACATATTAAGAACCTTTAAAATATCCAGACTGATGGAAAAATCAAGTTGACACTCTGACCACTCCATAATATTTAAAAAATTTAATGATTAATATGGATACTTTTTATATAGATGCTTGTTATTTTTGCTTGATTCAGAGGAAATCTTATAATTTATGTGGTGATTCTCTTAAAGCATCTCAGCAGGTTGATATCTGCCCACTCATCCAAAGAGATTTCTTCTTAACCCTGTTTTTACACTCCTTGCATGAGATAATGATGGGTCTCCCCCCTGACTCAGTTCCTAGTATCATAAAAATCAGGCAGTGATATCACTAGTGGGAGCGGTCCAGCAGGCATTAGAACTTTGTTCTGGATCCTGCCCTTACTGTCAAGTTAATGAACAGATCTAGTATTTGATTCTTCCAAGCTGTTACTGGGAGCCAGCCAGGTATCCCACTATGAACTCACATCATTGCTTATGTTTGCCACACGTAGACTTGATCAGAAACCACACATTCATCATCCCATCAAGAATCCCTCAAAGAAACAAGCTTAGCCTCTACAGTTACCAGTAGAGACCTCATCTGGAAGCTTCACTCTTTAGCCTCCTCATCTGTAAGTACTGGGTACAAGGAGGATACTTGTGCAGGTGCTGAGCACTGGCCTCCAGTGTCTACATGGTAGATTTCACCTGATGCTGCCCAGGCTATCACTGTATGTAACTCTCTACCATCCAGCCATATTTTAGGTCAGTTCTTTATAACTAAAGTTGGAAGCGAGATGGTAGAAATTTAGGTTCATGACAGCTCCTCACTCTATAAAAATCCATCATGCCCATGTCAGTTTCCAACCTGTCAAAGAATCTGAGCGACACTTTTTTTGTGTCCTAGAGAATATGACTTGGAGCTCACCATTAGGCTGATGAAAGAGCATATACAGCTTTGTCTGATGAATCATTCTTTCCCAGCTCTGACATGCAAATGGAAGGCAATCAGGGGATAATGTTAGGAGTAGGCTCAGAGACACTACTATAACTATGCAATTTTTAACATTTAGATTCATCTTTATTGAAATAATAATAAAACTAATAAAATAAGAGCTCTGTCTGCTCTTATATTTAGAGGACCTAGGTTCTATTTTTAGCACCTGCATAGTAGTTCACAACTGACTAACTCCAGTTCCAGGATATCTGATGCCCTTGTCTGGCCTGTGCATTCACTGTGTGCACAAGGTACATAGACATACATGCAGGCAAAATAAAAATAAACATCAAAAATTAAAATAATAAATTAGTTGTAAAACTTAACCTTTATATATTTAAGACAATGTATTTCATACACACCTAGTAAGAAGATTTTCACAATTGCCATGATTGTGCCATATCAGATGAAAGGGCATGGTGCGATCGGTAATAAAAGATCCGCCAGACTAGCTTAATACAAAATATACAGCTTTAAAAAAAAACAGAAGGGAAAACTTACACAGAATCTCACCCTGCTGGAACGCTGGATCCAAGCCAGGTCAAGAGGGAGAGAGAGAGAGAGAGAGGGCGGGGGCTTTCACCCGCCAAGTTTATAGGTAAACTTTTGCCTAAGGGCGACACGCCCCATGAACAGAATGTCATTGGCTGAACTCCCCTATCAATCAAAAACATAGACAAGCATATATACATATATATATATATATATATATGTCTACAATGTCAGAGTTTATTTAATAACAGTAAATTCACAAGATATAACAGTTTCAATGAAAGCAACTGTGAAGTATTCCTGTTTTCCTTAGTAATCGTGGCTGACATGAAGTTTTTAAAAATTTTAAAGAGTTTATTGTCAAATCACACATTAAAAGCCACACAGTATGTTTGTTTAGGTTTCTATTACTATGATAAAACACCATGAACAAAAAGCAACTTGGGGAAGAAAGGGTTTGTTTGGCTTACAGATCATTGTTTATTGAAGCCAGTGCAGAAACTGAAACAGTGACCATGGAGAAATGCTGCTTACTTGCTTGCTCATGGCTTGCTTATATTGCTTTCTTTTTTTCATTTTGTTTTGAAATTTATTTATGTGTACAGGTGTTTTTCTCGAGTGTATGTTTTTGTACCACAGGCGTGCATGGAGGTCAGAAGGGGCTTTGGATCCTGTGGTACTGGAGTTATGGACGTTTATGATGCCACCCTATGGGTGCTGGGAATCGAATCTTTGTCCTCTGCAAGAACAAGTTCTCCGCCCCCCAACCCCCAAAAGGATTTCTCTGTGTATCCCTGGCTGTCCTGGAACTCACTCTATAGACCAGGCTGGTCTCAAGAGATCTATCTGCCTCTGCCTCCCAAGTGCTGGGATTAAAAGCGCGTGCCACTACCGCAGGGCAGAACAAGTGCTCTTAAAGGTTAAACCATCCAGCTCCATCGTCTTGCCTTCCTATTTCACTCATGAACACTGGTTTAGTGGTAACACTGCCCACAATGGGCTGGGACCTCTTCTGTCAATTTGCGTTCAAGAAAATGCCCACAGACTTACCTACTGGTCAGTCTGATAGAGACATTTTCCCAGTTGGGATTCCTCTTCCCAGATAACTAACTTGTGTAAAGTTAACAAAAAACAAACAAAAGAAAACAAAGCAACTAGGACTGGGGGGGGGGGGGGGGCCCGGCGCGGGGGGGGGGGGCTGGGGGGGATTAACGAGGAAAGGCATTTATTTCAGAGGTCTGAGAAACCAGAGCTGGGAAATGTAAAGAAGTCTATAGGAATGCGTAAAAGAACCAGCTGGGTACTTCAGGGCCGCCAGCCGCCGGCGTTCTCCTGCCGTCAGCCTGTGTTCCGGGCAGAGAAACCCTTGCGCACGCGCAGGCCCTGTACGGAAAGCTGGGGAAGGATTATCTGCGTTGACCAATGGCATGTGCGAGGCTGCCCGCCGCAGTGCCTTCTGGGAACGTGCCAATGACCGCTTCCCTTGGGCGTCTGCAGCCGCGGAAGCTCTAGACAGAACCTTTTTGTTCAGGCTGGAAAAATGCTGCTCTTCTGTCCGAGCTGCGGAAACGGACTGATTGTGGAGGAAGGACAGCGTTGCCATCGCTTCGCCTGCAACACTTGCCCCTACGTGCATAATATCACACGCAAGGTGAGTACCAGAGGCGAGTGCCTCCTGGCTGTCTGCGCGCTCAGACCTTCCTGCCGGCGGTAGGTTTTTTGTCTCTCGCAGCGGAGGTTCCCCAAATCCAGCAGTTTTCTAATCCAGTGGCGTCGCTCCGACCAAATCGAAGTCGCTCTTTTGGTTACTACAGAGATTTCTGCCTCTGGCTCTGTGCTGCTCGTTTTGTGACACTCAAAAAAGTTGCGAGAATTTCCGTTCATACCTCTAGGCTGAACCACGCTTTTAAAACCTTCAGTCCCCACATGCTGTTCCCGGCGTGCCAGACTCCAGTCCGCTTATCACCTCTGATCTCAAATCTTCACGTTCTTTTTGTAGCTCTTTTTGCTCCTAGACCCTGTCGCTTTTCAGGAGGGATCTCTCTCTCTCTCTCTCCCTCTCTCCCCCTCCCCTTCCCTCTCTCCCTCCCTTCCTCCCTCGCCCCTTTCTCTCTGTGGGTGTATATATGTCTCTCTGTTTCTCTCTTCCTTTTCCTTTATCTCTCTCCTTCTCTTTTAAAATAATGACTACCCTATTTAAATTCCAGCCTTTTTGGCTGTTGGTACGTGTCTATAATTCTATCACCTGGGGAGGCTGTGGCTGGAGAATAAGTTCAAGTTTCACCTGGCCTGCATGGCATATATATGAAAATTAAGTAAACAAACCACAATCCAGTTCTCTCAGTTTATCTTCATTCCTGTTATCTTTCCCCAGGATTCACTGTCATCTAATATATATCATTGTTGCTGCTTTATGTGTGTGGTGCTTGTGTCAGAACCCAGAAAACTGCGTTTTCAACCCTTGGTGTTTTGTTTACCTTTCGGCTCTTGTTCCTCCTTACCTTGGTGTCCTGAATTCTGTGATTGCAGATGCGCATCACCAGACCTTGGTGACACCTCATTCTTAATGTTTGCACTTTAGAGCTATATGGAGTTTAGAGTCTGAATTTGTGATAAGATGAATGGTGACATAGTTTCGGAGTTAGAGAGATAACTGATAAACTTAGGAAAGCAGCCAAATGTGTCCCGGGGAATGCAGGGATACCCAGATAAATGATCCTGCTAGGCTTATTTTGTCTCTTTCATATTGGATTACTAGGTGTTTTAGGGGTATGAGAAAAGAGTAGGGTTTAACTCAACTGTCTTCCTGCTCTGCCTGGTGTTTCCTCCTGTCTCTAGAGGTCTCTGACATTGAACCTCTGGGTTGTTTTGGGAACATCCCAGTCACAAAACCCCTACATTTTAATGGCTTTTGGTGCTCTTTGAAGAAGATAAAGTTTGTATCCATTTACCACGTAGAGGAAATGCTGGAGGGGGGTTATACAGTCCCACCTTTAAAACTGTATGATTACTTGAAATTTGATGGCTTGTTTTTGTTAGGTAACAAACCGAAAGTATCCAAAGCTGAAAGAAGTGGATGATGTACTTGGTGGAGCAGCTGCCTGGGAGAATGTGGACTCTACTGCAGGTGGGAAGTTTTCCATTACAAAGCCAGTGACTCAACCCTGTTTATTATTACTTATTATATTTAATAATAATGCATTTATTATAATACAACCCTGTATATTATTAGGACCAATGACATGGCTCAGCAGGTAAAAGCTCTTGTTGCCAAACCTGTTAACCTGAGTTTGATCCTTGGAGCTCAAATAGCTGACTCATGAAAAGTTGTTTTCCACCCCTCCCCCAGTAAGTATGAAAGAATTTAAGAAAATATAAATAATGACAAATATCAGTAATTACAAATAGCTTGTGTTTGCCAATACAGGAAGTATTTTGATGATACATTTTAGTTACAGTGTAGTCGTTCTTTAAACTCTAAGCAAGGCATTAAAACTTTTTTGTTTGCTTGTTTGTTTGAGACAGGATTTCTTTGTGTAGCCCTGTGTGTCCTGGACCTCCTCTGTAGACCATGCTGGCCTCGAACTCAGAGATTCACCTGCCTTCCTGCCAAATTTTAGGGGTTTTTTTTGTTGTTGTTGTTTTGTTTTGTTTTTCAAGACAGGGTTTCTCTGTAACTTTGGAGCCTGTCCTGGAACTAGCTCTTGTAGACCAGGCTGGTCTCGAACTCACAGAGATCTGCTTGCCTCTGCCTCCCAAGTGCTGGGATTAAAGGTGTGTGCCACCACCGCCCGGCTCAAATTCTAGGTTTAAATGCATGTGTACCACCACCTGGCTGTATTAAAAAATTTAAAGCAGGTTCTTTCAAGGAAAGATATTCTGAAAGGGAAATCACCATACTGATACCCGCTCCATTGTTTCATTTAGATTCTCCAGGTCAGATTGGACCAGTATAAAAATCTGAAATGTGTTCTCTTTTTGAAGCAAATTTGGAGTTTATTACAAAAAAGTTTCAATGTTGGTGTAAACTTAAATATTGATGGTTGTTGAGAGGGGCAGAGAGATACATAGAGGGCAATCATCCTTACTCTAGTGGGTACAGGCTTCTTAGGAGAACTCTGTTGTATGTATTTTCAAATACCACTATTGAAAAAATGATCATCTCTGGTCTTTTTTATTCTATATGGATTTAAAAGTTTTATAGCTGGAAGTGAAGTATGGTGGGTCAAGCTTGTAAGCCAGTACTCTCAGCCCTATCTCAATCAATCTGTCAATCAGTAAATAGTTTTGGGGAAGCTGGGTGGTGACAGCACTCAAGAGACAGAAGCAAGCAGATCTTTGTGAGTTTGAGGCCAGCCTGGTCTACAGGCTCCGAACTACATAGAGAAATCCTGTCTTGAAAAACAAACAAAAAAAGTGGGGCTGGAGAGATGACCCAGTGGATAAGCACTGGCTTAACCTCTGGGTTTCTAACCCAGAGGACCTGGATTTCCATCCCAGCACCCATATGGCACCTCCGACCTTCTGTACTTCTAATTCAAGTGATCCAGTGTCCTCTACTGGCACCCATGGTTCGTAGAATACTTACAACAAAACATACACATAAAATAATTTTTAAAAATTAAAAGATTTATGTTTGATAGACTTAAATGTGATAATGGAAAGAAAGAATAGGGCCCTAAATATTATCTGTTTGAGACGGAAGAGCACATATCTTTTTCTCTATAGAGGAAATATACAAATCTTCTATGTTAAAAGTTAGAATTAGCTAGGTGTGGTAGTACAGCTTGAGAGGTGGAGACAGGAAAATCAGGAGCTGAAGGTCATCTTGGCTACCTAGTGACCTTGAGGCCAACTCCAAGAACTTGTTTTATAAAAGCAAACAACAAAAACCTTGAAAATGGAAAATGAGTAGGGGCTTAATTTTTTTAAAAAATCTATTTATTTTTGAGATAGACTCTTGTTATGAAGCCCAGGCTGGCCTTGTAGCAAGCCTCTTGTCTCAGTCTCTTAAATGCTGGGATTACAGCTGTGTGCTACCACACTGGGCAGGTATTTTTGTTATAGCCCCACAAAATAGACTATAAAAGACCCTTCCCATGTTATGCTTCCGGCCAGTCTTCAATAAAATTTGAGAAAGAAAGTGATACTAGGGAGGTGCTTTCAAAGTCACAGTCTCTCCAGTCCCCTTAGTATTGGTGTGCTGTGGGTAGGATGTTGCTATTGGCAAATTTACCATTGGCAAGGTAGTCTGGATGAACGTGGGGATGAGATATTTACCCATACTTAACAGTATTTGTGTAATGTGGATGACTTGTTTTTCTCTTTGTCAGAGCCGTGTCCAAAATGTGAACATCCCCGTGCCTATTTCATGCAGCTTCAGACCCGTTCTGCAGATGAGCCAATGACCACCTTCTACAAGTGCTGCAATGCTCAGTGCGGACATCGCTGGAGAGACTAAGGGCAGGACTTACCCAGCTGCAGCCCTGAGTTTTGTGTGCTGAAGGTCTTTGCTGTGTGATAGGAAGCTAACTCTTCTGTGGTGGAGGACCAGGGTGGAACAGGTCATCTGCAGGTCAGCAGATAAAGACCTTAATGCACAGGGGCTTCAGATCCTTGGGAAATACACATGAGGATATTCATGTTCTGGCTTCAGGTTCTATTCCTTCATCCTTTGTATTTATATAGTGGGTAGTTGATGTTTCCTTACTACCATTAGAACTAGAAACTTGGTTTATAGCCAAGGATAATCTTGAACCCTATTCTTTTTGCCTCTGTCTCAGAAGTATTAGGATGATAGGCATGTGAACTATGTTCATTCTACGCAGTGCTGGGAATTGAACTCTGAGCCTCATGCATGTAGACAAGTACAGACAAGTAACTCAGTCAACTGAGCTATATCTCCAGCCATTTAATTTTTAAGATAATTTTTATTTTTTCTCTCTAGAACAATTATAAAAATATCCATAAAATCATTGAAAAACACTTTAAAATTCAGGACTGACATGATACAGCTTGTATGATTAATAACTAAACAAACTTCTGTTATTTGGATTTTCTGAATGATGTTGATAGGAATTTAAAAGTAACCAAAAATATTTTCTATTTCCAGCTAGGGAGAAAGGGCCACAATGGAGCCTATGCCTAGCACTTACAAAAGTCTGTGTTTGAAACACATTTAAAAACCTATTAAAAACCTCAATAAATTTAGAAAAGTTACTTATTTGCTAAAATTACTAGGTGTATTGGGAGAAGAGAAGATGTGGCTCTGTGCTGCTACCTGTCTCAGCCCTAGTTCTTTCAGTGAATTTTTGTCACTGATGCTGGGATTCTGAACCATGCCACAAAAGATTCTCAGGACAACTAGGTATAAAGTAAGTCAAGTGTCTTAATAATAGCCATGTTTATGATTTGGGTGGCTTTTTAAGAGAATTGTTCAGTGAAGTTTCACCCCCACTTACCCTTTTTTGTATTTGTTAAATGAGATCATTGGATGAGTTCATAGATGACAAGGGTTCAAGCTGTTCTTAATTTACCAGGTTACAAGGGGTTACGACATAACTTTTGACTGTCAACAAAGAAACCTTACAACTGGGAACAGTCAAATTAAGGTCATCTGGTTAGTGTGGTTCATCAGTATTAACATTCTCAATTGAAATCTCTATAAGATGACTATAGACTGTGTAGTCAACCTTTATTGCTTTAGAATTTACAGCCCTGAGCTGGAGTTTTCACAACCAGACTTAATTTGCCTGTTTTAAAAAAAATTATTATTGCGTATGAATATGGTAGGGGGTGGTGGTGGATACATATCACAACATTCACATGGAGGACAGAAGGCAACTTTGTGAAGCTGGCTATCTCTTTATTTTTTATATTGGTTCTGCCCTACTTATTTCATTTTCCAAGCGCTCCCCTGACTTTTTAATCTATCTTAAGCCTTGGCTACATTATGAGATTTTGTCTCAAAAATTAAACTAACAAGAATTTTGTCTATATATCAAATTATCACAAAAGAAAGAATATTGGAGACAGAAAAGAAAAATGACCTTTTTATCATACAAGGATCCATAATAAAGACTACCAACAGATTTTATAGAAGAAAATCTTTGGATACTAAAAGTCAGTGAGCTGGCACATTGAAAGTACTGACTGAAAACAAGCTGGAAAACCCCACAATTGAGAGAGATAATATAAACAACATGGAAGCTGGAGAGATGATCCAGTGGGCAATAGCAGCATACTTCTCTCATACAGGATCTGGGTTCACTTCACAGCACCCACAGGGAATCTTGCCACTTTATATCACTCCAGTTTAAAGGGATCCGGTCCCTTCTGATTTCCATAGGCACTAGGTACATAATTAAATCCAAGAAAAACACATATAAGGAGAAATTTCTTTTTAAGAAAATCTATTGGAGCAGTAAGTGCTCTTATGAGACATCTCTCCAGCACCTGCATTTGACTTGTGTCCTTCCAGTACCGTGTGCTGTATTGGTTGGACTGGACCAATACCAGCCAGGAAAAGAGGTTTCTGGAGGTCTGTAGGGACAAGTACATGAGGTAGGCATGCTGACTCTTTAGATACCAGGTATCTATACAGGGATCTGATGTACCCACTTCTCTCTGTGAGGTGGGATTCCGCTCTGTATGCTGTGAATATCATTGGTTAATTAAGGAACCTTTTTGGGCCTATAGCAGAGCTGTAAGGGAACAGAGCTAGGCAGGGAAAACTAAACAGAATTCTGGGAGAAAGGAGGTGAAGTCAGGGAGAAGCCATGTAGCCCTGCTAGAGCTGAATGGAACTTTACCCAGTAAGCCACTGCCACATGACAATATACAGATTAATGGAGATGGGTTAAATTAATATGTAAAAGTTAGCCAATAAAAAGCTAGAGCTAATGGGCCAAGCAGTGATTTAAATAATATAGTTTCTGTGTGATTATTTCAGGGCCCTTCTTACTACATCTCTGTGGGTTCAGGATCATGCCCCAGCTTCATTTATTATCAGAATTGGAGCAGATCTGTCACCTCTCTTCTAGGATGATAGTGTAGATTAGGCCCACCTGGTGATGGAAAGCAGAGTTGAGATGACCCTTCTGGGGACTGGGAGTGGAGTAAGAAATGCTTCTTGATACTAAGAAAAATCTCCAGCTCTATGTAAGTGGGAAGCCCCAGAGGAGCCACAGTGGATGGAGTCTGCAGCAGAGCCCACATGCTTTCGGTGAAGACTTTCTGTGGAAGCCTGGACGTAAAAGGGACAGTTGAAGCTATCCTTTTACCACGGCAGATCTCAGGTATATTGGGAAAGTGATTTTGTCCAGATGACTGACTGTTTTATTATTGTAAAGCTCTCCCTAGAACTGATCTGACTTCTGAGACTAGAGGTGGGTCAGATAATACAAGTGTAGAAGAGATAATTCTGTGGGTTCATAGACAGGTGCTGACAGACAAACCAGGGCTTCTGAAAGCTCAGCAGCCAGAGATGTAGGGTAGAGGCTTTGGTTACTCTCTGCTGTAAGTCATTTTCCCCTTCTGAGATGACCCTGACACAGAAAGGCCATCTGTAGACAGAGACTGCGCTTTAGTTTCCTGGTCACCCAGACCACAACACTATTTGGCCAATGGCTTAGACATATTCCTAGCTAGCTCTTACATCTTAGATTAGCCCATTTCTATTAATCTATGTATTGCCATGAGTCTATGACTTTCTGGTAATGTTCTGGCATCTTTCTCCTTCAGTGGCTACATGGTGTCCCCTGACTCTGCCTATTCTCTCTATCTCTGTTCAATTTCCCTCCTGGCTTTACTCTGCTAAGTCATTGGTCAAAACAGCTTTATTCATCAACTAATTAAAGCAACATATGTACAGAAGGACATCCCACATCAGTAGACACACTGAAACTAGACAAGAACTTGTAATGGTTTAAGTAAAATGCTGTAGGTTCCCGAGTGGCAGCAGTGGGCAGTGGGTCCTGAGACCACGGCAGGCCACGAAGGCAGCCGGGTCCCAGGCAGGGAGCCATGTGGTGGGTGAGAGACAGAGATGGACAGGCACACCATGCAGAGTAAAGATGGATAATTATTTAGTGGGTTATGGAAGGGAAGGGGAGAAGGGGGAAGAACAGAGAGAGAAAGAGAGAAACCGGGGGGGGGGGGGAAGAAGTGGGGAGAACTGAGAGACAGAAGCTGCCTCTTTGAAAGAGAGAGAAGGAAAGGAAGGGACCCAGGCTGGAAGCTAAAGATCAGCTTGCCTCAGCAGATGAGGGTGGGGGAGTGGAAGTGGCTTGTCTCTTAAAGGGACAGTACAGGCCATTACATACCCATTTCTTTTTTATAATAAAAAGGCAGGAGGTTAGGCACAACAAGTTAAAGGAATTGGGGCGGTAGATTCTCAAGAATGCTTCTGCTTATTTGTGGGTGTCGTCTTGGGGGGGAACCTAAGAAAGCTGGGTGCTGGTCACATCCTGGGTAACTAGTCTCTTAAACAATACTTGTTTAAGGTATTGGCAGAACAAAGAACAAAGTTAAGTTTAGGAAAAAAAAATTAGGACAAGGAAATTGAGAGTGGTGTATCTGACCTGTTTAAGGTGGGTACCTCAATTTGACTCCCTGGAACTCACAAGAATTCTTTGGGTTTGTGAATACAGAAGTTTTAAACAGCATATTTATGTCAGAATGACTGTGACGGATATTTTTTGCATAATGAAAGTATTTTTAAGACTATGAAAGGCAGCATGAGAGAGAAATTTGGTAACTTGTATTTGTCCTCACACCTTTATAACTTGCAGGCACACACCTTAATTACTTGTATGTGTATTTTACTGAAATCTGTTTGGTGAGGTTGTCCTTTTAAACTGACAAAACCTCTCAGCTGTCAAACTACATCAGAGATCTTTGAGAAGGATAAAATTTTACTTGAGGAGTTATTGATTAAAAAATAACAGAGAACTTACTTGGTTGGCACTTAGAGCTATTCCTCAGGGTCCTCCATGGTCACTGAGGGTCGTATTTGCCTTTTGCTGTTTAGTGCAGGGCCTGCCAGGCTCCAGAAGATCTGTGGACTAATAAATCTGTAGAAAGACAAACCTACCTTGACCTGAGCAGCTAGGCTGTCGATTCTAGTGATTTTTTTTCCTGTCTGATGATCTTCAGTTTAGATGAAAGGCAGTTTTGCCCAGTGGTCAGTGCTTGGCAGTTGAAACAAATTGCAGATGGATGTTGTTCTGTGCCCATTTGTCTTCTGTCTTCTTTGGAGGAAGTAGAGTGCTGCTGATAGGGGCCAACCTGTCTCTTTTTGTTATGAAAAGTCTTTTAATAATTAAATATTTAAATCCCGTATTCCCCAGATCTCTGAGCAGTTGAGGGCTATTTATCAAATATAACTACAGTATAGAATTTGCCTGGAGAGCTGGGTCTAAGCTTGACTGTACTGGCTCTCAACAGGTAAGATTTACAATCATAAAAAAACAGAAGAAAAAATTGTTTGCAAAGAAGATTAACAGCAGAACAGACAATAGTAGAGAACAGTTTAATATATTTTAAAGCAAGGTTGGATTAAATATAAAGTATTTTTTGTAAGAGACTTAAAAGTACATACCAGTTTAAAACATGAGACTTATTGTTTTTGTTGTCTAAAATCAGATGCAATGAACAGACAATTATAACATTTAACAGTAAACATAGGTGCATTTAAGTTACATGAGAGAGACAGAAAGGAAGGGACTCAGGCTGGAAGCCTTGGCAAACGTTTGCCTTGGCAAACGGTAGTGAGTAGGTGTGGCTTGTCTCTTAAAGGGCTAGGACAGACCATTACAGAATTGGTTTAGGCCACACTAACAAGTTACTACTATACTGAATGGGTCACTGTGTTCATCTCAGTATCTGAAATGAGCCAGGGACTATACCTCATTCACTTTTAGGTCCTCTGCATACTGTTTGTTGAGTTTCAAAATGCTACCACATGTGTAGATTAACCTGGCTTCTTCCGGCATTTGTACAGGTAAATAGTAGTTTGATATCAGCCTTTCTTGGGTGAAACTCTTAAAGCTTTTCCTCTTTTCTCTCAGATAGCTAAACATTCCCAGTCTTGAAAGAATTCTGTCAGTTATCCTCAAGGATCAGCCTTATGGTGGCCAAATGGACAGCTGATTATCTTCTTGCAGTCTGTCTTGGGCTTGTTCTAGCAGATGAATGATATTATAGACTTGAGATGTAACTTAGTGATCTTAGGTTCAATACTAACATTAGGAGGTAAGAGGGTTGTCTCAGTTAGGGTTTCTATTGCTGTAAAGAGACCCCATAACCACAGAGAAACTTTTTAAAAAATTTATTTATTTATTTATTTATTTGTTTATTTATTTATTTATTTATTATGTATACAGTGTTCTGTCTGTATGCTTGCTGGCCAGAAGAGGGCCCCAGATCTCATTACAGATGGCTGTGAGCCACCATGTGGTTGCTGGGAATTGAACTCAGGACCTCTGGAAGAGCAGTCAGTGCTCTTAACCTCTGAGCCATCTCTCCAGCCCCACAGAGAAACTTTTATAAAGGAAAACATTTAATTGTGGTGGCTTGCTTACAGTTCAGAGATTCAGTCCATTGTCATCATGGTGGGGACATGGCAATATGTAGGCACACATGGTACCGGATAAGTAACTGAGAGTCCTACATCTTGCAGGCAACAGGAAGTTGTTGTGGGAGACCTCTTGTTTGTTCCCAGCTGCTCAACCCTGAAATAATCACACAGAAACCATATTATTTGCAATACTGTTTGGCCAATAGCTTAAGCATATTTCTGGCTAACTCAAATCTTAAATTAAGCCATCTCCATTAATCTGTGTATCACCACAAGACGGTGACTTACTGGGTAAAGTTATGGCATCTGTCTCCAGCAGGGCTACATGGCTTCTCTCTGATTCTGCCTCCTTTTCCCCAGCATTTAGTTTAGTTTTCCCCACCTAACTAAGTTCTACCTTGCTAAAGGCCAAGCCAGTTTCTTTATTCATTAACCAATAAAAGCAACACATAGAAAGACCTCTCACACCAGGAATTCATCTGAGAAACTGGGTGGTATCTTAAGCATGTATGAGACCTTAAAGCCTGCCTCCACAGGAACATACTTCCTCCAACAAGGTCATACCTACACCAGCAAAGCCACATTCCCTAATAGTGCCACTCCCTTTGGGGACTACTTTTTTCAAACCACCACAAAGGGGGAGAAAAATTGACACAGTTACATCTAAAACTATGTCATAGAACATCAAGGAAGGCTCCATAGAAGCTTTTAGGTCCTCCAATCTCTAGCCTCCACATAGCTTATTTGTTGAATGTGTATTTTAAATAATGCAAAAATCATTCTTGGCAGAGGGATCGGCTCTTTATGAATAAAGCGCACATACATATATAATATAGACAACATACACATACACACACATACATACACATATATAGCTTATTAAACTTAATGCCTGAGATGATTGACTGGTAATGTCTCAGCAGGTCAAGATACTTGTTTTCTAAACCTACAGACCTGAGTTCCTTTTCTGAGAACCATGTGATAGAAGGAGAAAATAAACCTTCCACAAACTACCCTCTGATCTTCATGTGTGTGTGTATGCATGTACGCCCACTCACCATAATTTTAAAAAAAATGACTCAGAGTACCATGGTAAAAACACTATTGAGGGGGAAAGCAGACCTCTGCCAGAATATACCCTGGTGCCTTCCTGGCTATTGTAAGTACCCACTTGTTTGTTCATGGCTGCTCAGCTCTGAAATAAACACACAGAAACTGTATTAATTAAATCAGTGATTGGCCTATTAGCTTTAACTTCTTATTGGTATGTATTGCCATGTGGCTGTGGCTTACCAGCATGGTTCTAGCTCATCTGTTCCCGGCGGTGGTGGCTACATGGCATCTCCCTGACTCTGCCTTCTTCCCAGCATTCAGTTTAGTTTTCCCTGCCTACCTTTATAATGCCCTGCCAAGCCCAAGACAGATTCTTTATTCATTAACCAATAAAAGCAACATATATACAGAAGGCCCTCCCACACCATCTGACAAACATTAGCTTTAGCTTCTTATTGGCTAACTCTTACATATTAATTTAACCCATCTCCATTAATCTGTATATCGCCAAGTGGCAGTGACTTTCCGGCAAAGTTTCAGCATGTCTGTCTCTGGCAGAGGCTCCATGGCTTCTCTCTGACTCTGCCTTCTTTCTCCCAGCATTCAATTTAGTCTTCCCTGCCTACCTCTATTCCCTATACAGGCCCAAGACAGTTTTCTTTATTAACCAATAGTATTCACAGCATACAGATGGGAATCCTACATCAAGTAATAATACTATATTGTATGTTTGAAATTACTGAGGGCACAGCTTTAGTGTTCTCTCTTGAGTATAGGAGGTGAGAGATGTATTAATTTGATTAAATTCACTCATTTAACAGTGCACACATCTATCACATATACTGTGTCCAAACAATATACAACATTCAATTGTCAATTATTCCCTTCAAAATCTGGATGAGAGAAAATAATTTTCAAGATTAGGTCATAAACATACCGGCTTTTTTCTTCTCTTACACTGATTAAATACAGCTACAATACTATGAACTGTCCTGGAGCACACAACATGGAACAGAGAACAGTATCTAGTCAAGGGTGAGCAAGAAACTAAGTCCCCAATCCAACAGACTATGAGATACAGAACCCTGGGCACAAGCTAGGGAGTAAGATGAAGCATATCAGGCTTCACTTCCTTCTACTGAAGTCAAGATGCTAACTGAGCTAGCTTCCTGAAGCTCTAGCAGGAAACTTAATGTTCATGTCTGTCTTGACTCTAAAGACTTCCTGCTTTCTTTGGTTAACACCTGATGTGGGATTTCCCTCTGTATGCTGTGATTACCATTAATGAATAAAGAAACTGCTTTGGACCTATAGCAGAACAGAACTTAGGTAGGTGAGAAAAACTAAACTGAATGCTGGAAGAAAGAAGGGCAGAGTTAGGGAGAAGCCATGGAGCCGCCGTCAGAGTCAGATATGCTGGAACTTTAGCCAGTAAGCCATAGCCACATGGCGATATACAGATTAATAGAAATGGGTTAAATTAATATGAAAGAGTCAGCTGATAAGAAGCTAGGGCTAAAGGGCCAAGCTGTGTTTCAATTAACACAGTTTCTGTGTAATTATTTTGGGGCTCTGAGCAGCCAGGAACTAACAAGTGGCCTCCTTCCAACAAACACCCCTTCCTCCTTCAAGGGCAAGAATTGCTGGCTCATTCTCTCCTACCATATCACATTGGCACTTCCTGTCTGTCTCCCTCTTTTATTTAAAACCAACCTTGTGATTATCCTTGGCCCACATAGATAATCTAGGGAAAAAACTTCATTCTAAGGGTCATGTATCATAGCCTTAATTTCATATGCATCTTTAATTCTCCCTTTTTGTGTGCTGTAACATATTCAGAGTTTCCAAAGATTAGATCAGGGCATCTAAAATGTTCCCATAACAGTTGTTGAGTATGTGAGGTGATAAATGTTAATTAGTTCAATTAAATAATTTCACAATGCCTATATATGCATATATATACATATATATATATATATATAAAATCATTTTGTACTTCAGAAAAATATCAAACCTCTACTTATCTTAAAAACTGTTTTAGAGCTGAGTGTGGTCATGATTGTCTTTAATACCATCTACAGGAGACAGAGGAAGAAAATCTCAGTTCAAGGCTAGTCTGGTGGTTACACAGAATGTTCCAGGAAGACATTATTCCATATTCCAGAAGAAAAATGCTTTTTATCTTTTCTTGTAGGAGGGTTGGGAATGATCTGAGTCCTGATACAAGCTAAGGATGTACCCTACAACTGAAGTATAGCCCCCAAACCCTACAGAAACTCTTTTTATCTAGCATTAAGTTAAAAGTCAATCTTGCAGTAGCAGATATGTAGCCTGAACTGGCCATCTCCTATGACCAGATTAGTATTTAACCCAGTTGTCATCTAGAGGCATCATCCAGAAATTTATATAGACAGGCACAGATCCAAGACCAAGCATTAGGTGGAATCCAAGGAATCTTGTAGAAGAAAAGAGGGTATTAGAGCAGCCAGATGGGTCAAGGACACCACAGGAAAGCTCACAAAAAGTCAACAAACATGGGCTCATAAGAGCTCTCATAGACTGAACTATTGGCTCGTAAGCCTGCATAAGACTGATGTAGGATCTCTGCATGTATTTTACAGTTGTGTGGCTTGGTCCTCTTGTGGGACTCCTGGTGGTGGGAACAGGGGCTGTCTCAGACTCTTTTGTAGACTTTTGGTACCCTACTCCTCATGCTGGGTCCCTTTGGCCAGCCTTGATGCATGGGGAGGTACTTAGTTTGCGTGACTTGATACGCCATACTTTGTTGATACTCATGGGAGACATGCCCTTTTCTAAACAGAAACACACTGTGTTTTGTTCATACTCATGGGACATCTTCACTATCCTAAGCAAAAATGGAGAAGAGTGGATTGGATGGTGGGAACAGAGAGGGATGGGGGCTGGAAGAGGGGAAGCTTCAAACAGAATATAAAATTTATTTTTAAAAAGTTAAAAGCCAAAGAGTATTTATCATCAATCAAAACTTTAGTGATCCTTTGAAGAAATTTAACTTTTATATATTACATAAATGAAGAATCCCTAAGGTTTATCAATATGTGACAATTGCAAATATTACATTTTCTTCAAAACTGCTGTGGCATATATTCTATTGTCATAATATAGTTCAAAAGTTCAGTAGTTACTACCTTAGAATCCCTCTGTCAGAATTCCCTTACTATCTCAATCATGTCCTTTGCAGAAATCAAGAATCACTCATTTTGTATTTGATTCTCATGTCATTTTAGTTTGTTTTAAAACTCAAAATTCATGTTCCATTTTTGATAATAGGATATATCGTACTCTAGCCTTGAAAACAAACAGTCTATGTGAAAAGTAGCTTCCTGGAAGCCACTGGATAGAATGGGATAGGTTGTGATTCCTGCCTATACCCTCTTCAGATAGTTAGTCCATTTGATCAGTCCAGAAGACCCATGGAAAAGATTGTTTACACAGATTTTATTTTAATTAATTAATTTTCTATATGTGACTGCACACATGCATATGTGTACACATGTGCATATTCCACAACATGCATATGGAGGGCATAGAACAATTTGTGGAAGCCAGGTCTTTCTTCCACTGTCTGGGTTCTAGAACCTGAATTCAGATTGTTAGGTTTGGCAGTAAGGACCTTGGCATACTGAGTTATCTTATTAAGCACCTATTTACTGAGATTTACTTTCTGTGACCTCATTCTTGGCTCATTAATGGAGGAAGCTGCGAGAGGATGTTTGTTTTTTAGAGAGGCACTGCATGAGGAAATGAAGCCTTTTGGGCTGACAAGAGGCTGAGCAACAATACAAAGGAAATTTTAAGGAATGAGATGCCTATGAGGTCTTTGAAAAGTTCAAACATAGTCCCACAAAGTTAGAAGGCAACAAACGTGTAAGACAATAACAATAAACAGAGGATCTTAACAAATATTTCATTGCAGAAGATTGGTGAGTGACAAATATTCGTATCTGCAGATAATTGTTACTTAGTTGGGAAATGTCATTTAAAACAATAATGAAAGCCTGTTGCAAACCCAACAATCAGTGAAGTAATGTAAAACTAATGGCAGCTTATTACAAAGTTACAAACTAAGGATTTAGTAATCATTCCTAATGAAACTAAAGAAATGAAACCTATTTTACACAAAAAGTCATACATCTCCTAACAGCATTATTAATTAATTGTTAAATGCTGTAAATAACTCAGTGTAGCACACTTAATAAAAACTCAGGATCAGAAATTGGGGTTCAACCTGAAGATCTGAAAAGCAAAAAGAGTCAGCCACTGGCTCTTGCCTTGACCTCAGTTTGAAATGGCAATCCTGCCTCTTGGAATCTCAGAAGGAAACTGTGTGTTCAGAGCTGTTTTCTCCCATTTTATAATCCTGTCTAGAGTTGGGATTAAAGGCCTATACCACCCAGTTTCTATAGCAACTAGTATGGCTACTGGGATTAAAGGTGTATGTTATCATAATCTGGTCTGTAAGGCTGATGAGTGGGACAGGTTTACACTCAAACCTTCAGGCAGTCTTATTTATTAAAATACAATTGAAATGCCACGACAACTCAGTTTTTTTTAAGGCGTGAATAAATAAACCATCATATATCCAACTATTGGAAAACTCACTAACTGTAAGATTGAATGCATTGATACACACAAAATCATAGATGAATCTTAAATGTATCATGTATCATGATCAGTGAAATAAACCAATCTCTAAGGGATACCAATTGTACAATGCGGGATTCCCCTCTGTATGCTGTGAACACCATTGGTTAATAAAGAAACTGTTTTGTCCTGATAGGGTAGATAGGTGGGGGAAAACTAAACTGAATGCTGGGAGAAAGAAGGAGAAGTTGAGAAGTCATGGATCTGCCACTGGAGGCAGACACACTGAAACTTTGCTAGTAGGCCACAACCTCGTGGTGATTCACAGATTAATGGATATGGGTTAAATTAAGATGTAAGAGTTAGCCAATAAGAAGCTAGAGCTAATGGGCCAAGCAGTGATTTAAATAATATAGTTTCTGTGTGATTATTTCGGGGCTGAGCAGCCAGGAATCCACAAACAGCCTCTTCACAATTATATGATTCTATTTATATGGTATATTGATAAAGGCAAACAACAGGAGCTTTTTTACACTCAAGGTCTTCATCAGATACACATATTCACATATATTCCACTCAAAATGGCAACCCTTATGGAAGATGGAGGAGGCACAACTTGAGAAGCTTCATGGTGTTTTTGATTTATATTTTAAAGTTTGATTACATGCCACTGTTATTGTGACAGCATGTATTTAAATAGCTCCCTGCTGTTAAATATTTAGATTGTTTACAGTTGCTTGCTATTGTTAGGCACAGCCTATTAAAGAGCTCTGATTATAATCTTTCTACAGTTCCTTGCCTCCATTGATGTGGGATATCCTTTATGCTATAAATATGTGTTGCTTTTATTGGTTGATAAATAAAGCTGATTTGGCCTTTTTGATCATTTGATGATCAGGGAAAATAGAGCCAGGTGAGAAATCAGAGCTATGGAGAGAAAGAAGGTGGAGTCAGAGAGACATCATGTAGCTGCTGGGGAAGTAAGATGTGAGTTAACAAGCCAGGAACATTGTGATAAAATATAAAGTAATAGAAATGGGTTAATTTAGTTGTGAGACCTAGTCAGTAATATGCCTGAGCCATTGGCCAAACAATTACAATTAATATTGAGCCTCTGAATGATTATTTAATAAGCAGCTGTGGGAACCAGTGGGTGGGAGAGAAACTAGTCCAGTTGGACTGACAGAATGCTTAAAAGCTTCCAGCTATACTCCATCCCTCCCTGCCACACCAACTCCAGTGTTGTCTGTGTGACATGACATACGTCATTATGCTGGATGGGAGCTACGTGTCCTATGGGACTAGGCTTCCTGGAGGTCAGTGGCAGACAGCCCAGTATTGGCTGCCGTTGGGGCATACACGGGTTTCTCGATTAGCTGACTATGCGGGATATGGGCTTTGCACAATCTTTTTCATAATGATGACAGTCTTTATATATGTTATCTCTTCAGGAACAGCTCCGAGATAGGGAAGTACAGTATGGGAATGTATAAGACTACAGCAGAAACTTTGTCAACATGGGGGTGTATGATGAGCAAGGGAATAGATGGGTTAATGTTGATGGACAAAGAGTGTTATGTTATACTCTGAATTTTATGAATAGGCATGCTAGATCTGAACCCCCATGGTGTCTGATGCATAAGAAGGTACAAAAAGTATATTTCAGCATGTGCAGAGAGCTGTTAGTCATATTTGGTCACTAGATGAGATAAAGAAAGGGTTAGAAAGAGGAAGGGCAATGATAGTGATGAGACAGAAACTTTCTATTCTTAGATAAGATGAAACCACTTGCCTGAGGTTTATGTTCCCAAGGACAAGATTTCCTCTTCTAAGGATGCTTTATGTCTAACACCTGTCCCTGATAATATGCTTTTCTTAGAAATCGCTGATGTGACTAAAACAGGCTTTGTTACTGTGCCAACCAATGATACATGACCTTCTGATTTGTTCTTTGTTTGAATACTATATAATGAAAACACGAATTCAGTAAAATCACAGCAGATTCCAACCACTCTCTTGTGTGTTGTGTCTGTCTTTCGTCGCCGACCTCGTGCCTTCCTGTGTACCAAGACCCTGCTTCTCCCACGGTCTGAGTGGCTCCCCTGAGCCAGTCCATGGCACCTCCCTTTATCCTCCCCATTTCTTGTTTTTGAATTTTCTGTTCTGGGATTTGGCTTGAGAACTTCACACAGGTGAAGGAAGCACTCCAATACTGAGCCACACCCCTACCACTTATTTGTGTATTTGATGTAGGATCTTACACTCAGGCCAGTCTCAAAATCCTCCTGCCTCAGCTTCCTGAGTGACTAGTTTAGAAGCACGCACCACCATACATAATAAAATGTATTTCTTAAACTGGATTTCAGATCTATGTAATTTGCATTTCTAAGGTATATATAGTTTAAATTTATACAACTACTGTAAGGTTACCCTCTCTAGAAGCAACTTCAGGAGCTTAAAAGGAAACATAGGTCTATTTTCCAATTTCCTCTCAAACCTTGCACTTGTATCTTTCATCGTACTGTGCTGATATTGAATGCAGGTTTTCAAGAACAAAGCTCTGGATAAGATATTTTGATGAAGATGACACTTGCTGCCTCCTTTCAACATTATCCTCAGTCCAAAATCATTTCTCCTTTTTAGCAACTGATTCAACAACACCTTCAGTCCCAAAAATGATCCTGAGGGAAGACAGAGGAGGCACAGCTGAGACCAGAGGCAAAGCTAAAGCCACTGGAGGTCATAGTGACACACACCTTTAATCCCAGGATTGGGGAGATAGAAGCAGATGGATCTCTGTGAGTTCAAGGCCACCCTGACCAAAGCAGAAATAAATCCAGGTGGTGGTGGCCTACACCTTTAATTCCAGCACTAGAGGGAATATAAAATTAGAGGAGAGAGGCTGCCTGCTTAGTCTGTGGTCACCCAGCCTTGGTAAAGAGAAGACTTCTCTAGCTGCTTGGCTACACTTCTTTTCTTATTTTTGGGTTGAACCCTAATTTTTGTCTCTGGGTTTTTATTATTCATGCAACATTTGGTGCCCAGTGTTTGGGGTATAAATCCACAAAACATCATTTGCCTGAGGCTTTATAGCTATCAGTACAGGGCAGGATTGCATGTGGGGCTCCCATCTGAGCTACACCTGGGGCTCCAGCCCCACCCACTAGGCTTTCTTTTCTTCTTCCCTCCCCTCTCTCCACCATCAGTTGCAGGCTCTCCTTGAAATCCAGCCAGACTTTTACTGTTCTATGCAGCAGCAATCAGCCTCACATCTTCATCAACATCTTTAGTAGATTTGGTAAGACAAATTGGAATTCTTAAAGGGAGGGATTATTTAAAAGAAAGAGTTTTTCCTCCATATTAAAATTGAGAAAAACCATTATAATGAAGGGATTTGGGTCTCTGTATGATGATATGCTAGGCATTTTAAAAATAGAATGATTAGAGGATATCTAATTTAAATCGGATTTATGTGATGTCAATTGTGAACATTATCAGCATTATGATTTTTGTCTTATCATTAAAAAATTGATTAATCTGAGTGCTAAGATATACGATTCAGAAAAATCTAATAAAACAGATCACCGATTCAAACCCAGACAGAATAATTATAAGAATAGAGAGGAACAGCCTAAGTTTTTCAGACAATCAACCTCAATATATCCAGTAACCTTACAGGAATTGCCAAATGGCAGAGTCTCTGTTACAGCTAACTGGACTATTGTGCCAATGTTAGACTGAAGGAGATTCAAGGAAGCAATAGTCCCATATGGCATGCTTTCACCTTTTGTGAAGCAAATGTTAAACTCATGGTCAATTTGTAATAGAATTATCCCTAGTGACTGGAAAGATTTGGTTAATGGACTTTTAGAGACTGGTGCACAATTACAATGGAGTCCCTGGTTCAGAGAAGAAGCTGAGATTATTGAAAAACAGACTAAAGCTAGAGATAGGGAAGTCTCCCAAGATCAAAGTTTTGGAGGAGGATACTACATTACTTACCAAAGGAATGCAAACTGTATATGATGACTGCACTCTGGATTTATGCCACACAGCAGCTTTGAGTGCTTGGGACAGAATCAGAGAAAAAGGAAAGAAAATTGAGTCATTTACTAAAGTTATACAGAGCCCAAAGAAAGCCTTTATGGATTTCTTACAAAGATTGACTTCAGCAGTAAACAGAATGATATCAAATTCAGGAGCTAGACAAATAATAATTAAATCTCTGGCTTCTAAAAATGCCAATCCTCTATGCAAATGGATAATTAGGCCATTAAAGGCAAGGAGTAAAGAATCTGAGATACAATCAATATAGACTCTCATGAACATGATGCTCCATGGATAGGAGAGGTGATTTCCAGAGGTTTGAGGAAAAATCAAAATGTCAAATGTTATAGTTGTGACAAACAAGGTCACTTTAAAAGAGATTGTCAACAGGGCATTCCTAGAAACAATGTTTTTTCTAAAAATAATTCGTTCAGAATGCACCTCCATTCTGGATTATGCAGAAGTTATGGCACGGGCAGGCATTGGACTAATAAATGTAGGCCAATGAGGAATATTCAAAATAATACTTTGCATTGGGAAAGTCCATGAGGGGCCTTTTGCAGACATTTGGCCCCTATGCCAAATCTGGTTGAGTAGTTTCCAGCCATTGTAGAGGAAACCCCTTACCAAAGCAATGAAAAATCCTAATGTCTATTGTAAGAAACTATACTGCTCTGGATAATTGAACAGATATAGAAGAGAGGACAAAAAATTCAGGAGAAACCATAAAACAAGTATTTTGGCAAGTTTCTATAGATGAACAATACCAGAATTAGAAACATAAATAAGTGACGTTGTTATTGAAGATCTGGTAGTCACAGGTACAGATGTAATAATAATTTGATCAGAATCTTTGTTGGAGGAGGGGCCCGCTTCTTGGTTCTGGGCCACCTGGCTAGCTGAGATCAGAAGTAATCACACAGAAACTGTATTAATTAAATCACTGCTTGGCCCATTAGCTCTAGAAATAGTGATGAAGGAGGGAAATTATATAAGTCTTGCAAAACCTCATACATGGTGTAAGTATAGAGGCTATTGAAACCTTGAAAGGTTAAATTGTCCATAATAAATCTTACCTGTGGTTTAGTTAGCTGAAGTAGGTGTAATAACCGTTACCTGCAAGTAGGTGTCGCGTTGCACTTGGAGCTGTGTGACTGGTTTAAATCTGATTCAATGCTAAAAGATATGCTCAGATTAAAAATGGTTATTTAGTGTAAATATAAATCACAGACTATGTACTCAGCGGAGGTCCCTGGCTGTTTAACAGATACATGAGACAGTTGGCAGAAGGCTGGGGCCTCCTACTTGGGACAGAGGGCATGTTGCCCATGGCGGTAGTGGTGGCGCTGGGCGCGATCTCCTCAACCTTTTCCGCCTCCGTCTCCCGCATCTCTCTGCCTGTTGTGCCCTTGGCACTGCCTGAGCTTCCACAGGCGCAGAAATAGCTGGACACAGAAGTCAGCTGGTAGCAGCCAAACAGGACTGCTGTGTGGGAAAATCTATGCCCAAATGAATGGCAGCATTTTACCACTGTCTTTTGTAAAGTCTAAATCTCCAGTCCTGTGTGCTGTTTTGGTGTCCTCATTGATTTATTTAACTTCTGGTCCTTATTTTGCATGTATGATTCCAAGGTAAGAAATTTGTCCAGTAAAGACAACATCTCATTCTTGGAAATTACTTGGATGACATGTACATTGCCTTTCTGTAGAGATACCTTATCCATTAACATATCATAACTTTTTTTTTTAACAGATTCTGATTGGTAAATTCAACACTACGAATTCAGATAAATTTTTTAGCACCCTTTGACATGGATTGAATTTTGTCTGTCAAATTATTGTTATCATTTTTAATAGTATTATTTTTTTCAGCTAGCTGTTTATTATTAGTCTGTAAAGACTGTATCATTTTTAAAAGTGCCTCATTCTTGGCTCTGTTATCAAAGCATTTTATTGAAGATATAATATGAAAAATGAAGCTAATTTTCAAAATCAAACAAATGGATGCATAAGGAAAATCACATAAGCCTTGCTGAACACCATCCATAGTGTAAGCAACATGGTATTAAATTCCTGAATGGTAATATTGTCTGTCATCATATAACTTTCAAATTTTACAATTTACATACCTGCCTGAGGGATTTTCAGTGGAGTAGGTGTGATAATCTTTATTGGCCTGTAGGTGTCGCAATTGCAGCTGTGTGCCAGAGGGACACTGTTGTATTACTGCACTGGTTTTGCCTGCACTGTTGCCTATTTAGATACTGACAAATATGCTTTGCTTAACAAAATAAGAGCAGTTATTACGGACAATTAAAGAGATTCTGTACATGGAGAGTTGGTTGTTGCAACCTTCCTCCTCAGATGCTATAGGCTGAGCTAGTTCTTTATTCATTAACAAAAAGCAAAACACAGACAGAAGATTGGTGGCCGGGATAAGGAAACCCAAAGCTTCCCCTCAGTCCCAAGTCCCCTCAATGTCGGGCTGCAGTGGGGAAAGTCAGGTTCCTGAGCAGTGGCATGTAGGCCACAGGTGGACGAGAAATGTGCCCAGGCTGGCAAATAGGTAGCATGGCAGGGGGCAGAGGATTCCTGGGAAGTATGAACTTGGCCCCATGTTGGGTGACAGATGATGTGGAATGCGTCAAAATGGGGGGGGTGAAGAGCGCCAAATAATACCCACTAGCTCTGAATAGGGTATACTAAGGTTTTTCCTTATTGAAAGGAAAACTCATAGATCACAATGAGAAAACAGGAAAGGGGTCCAACATCCAGGTGTGGTGAGCAGGAAGAGGCCAAGCAGGTGCTCCTGTGGGCTTTTTGGTACCCAAAAGCCACACCCAACTGGTTCAGCCTCTTAAGCCCACTGGCTGAAGACGATTCGCCATTAGTATGCTGCAGCCCAAATGCAGAAGAAATGAGAGAAACATTTCTAGGAGTAATATGGGTTTCCTAGAGGTTGAACTCAGATCATTAGGCTTAGCAATAACAGTTTTACCAACTGAGAGAGTTCTCTGGCATTCATTTGTGGTTTTGGGAAACTGCTATGAAAAGTGTTTAGTCCTCAGAATAAACTAACACACTGAAAAAAAAGTGATAGCAGTATATCATTTTCACCTGCAAATAGGATTTATTATTCAAATTATCTTGTTTTCCTCTATCCTTAGAGAAAAATATGTTTACAATCTGAAAGGAAGACACTATTTTCTGATCCAAATTTTCAACTAATTATACTTGAGCATCAGCGAGATGGCTCAGTGGGAAATGTCTGTGGTGTCCAAGGCTAGTGACCTCATTTTGATCACTTTTGATCACATTTGATCACTATATGAAGAAGGAAAAAAGTAGACCGCACAAAGTTGTTTTATGGTCTCCACATATCTATTGTGACCTAAAAGAACATAATTTTATTACACACACACACACACACACACACACACACACACACTAAAGAAATGTTTCTTTAACCTTGCCATTTTTATGCTTAAATCTTGCCATTACATTATCTGGCATCTCTGGATAATTTCCTTAGAATGCAGTACTTTGAGACAACTGATGAGAATGTAAAGATACATGTAACTTCAAATTATACAGATTCATAGCACATCAAGCTATATTGTGAAATATACAATTTATTGCTGATTATTCTACATCATTACTTCCCTACCAGATATATGAAAATACTTCTTTGGATATACATGAGATATTTGCTGTTTCTTATATTCTCTGCTATTAAGTATTTTAACATTAACATTGTTTAAACATGTTGACAAAACTACATTGGGGGTACATCATCTATCCTTGGACTTGTACTCAGGAGGTTGACAAATTTGGGTCATGAGTTCAAATGTATCCCTGAATAATTACTGATATCCAAGGCAGGCTGAAAAATAGTCAACAAAATCTCAAGGGAATTTGTGAAAATATGAAAAACAAAACCAGGAACAACAACCTATCACCCTTTCACAGACACCCTTATTGGAAAGTTTGATAACCTACTGCCTGATACTTAAATAAACAATGGACCACTTACATGATGGAAATCCCATTCTATACATTGCAGCAGAAAAATACTTACTGCTAAGAAAAATACAATAGAAGATGAATGAAAACCACAGAAGGAATATGAGGACCACAAAGTAAACTTTGCTAAGTGGATTTGCCACACATATAGCACACTTTAGAATCTCCCTCAAATGTTTCAAAATAGAAACCACAATGCAGTGATCTCCACTGTCTGTCTTCAGTGAACATGGTAAGGTTTATAATCCCTTATGGTTATATGAATAAGAAATGAAATAAACTTTTTGTCTTGAGCCAGAAGACAACTGTGATGATGTCTTAAATCTTTATGAAATCATTTACATGAATAGGTTTTATTCCATGTATGAGCTCTTCTTTATTTCCTTAGTTCAAAATTATACAATAGGCTTTAAAATATTTACAGAGCTAGAGACATGGCTGAGCAGTTAAGAAAAGTTCATTCCCAGGACTAAGGTCTGATTTTTGACAACTTCCTGTAATTCCTGCTACAAGAAGATCCAAGGGTCTAACCTTCTCAGGAACCAGCATACACATGCATATACTCCAACAAATATATAACAAATACACAACAAATACACAGTGACACCACACAATTAAAATTAAAACAAATCTTTAAACAAAATTTCACTCATGAAAATTTTTATTTTATAAGTATTTATTCTTGTGACACAGATGTTGAGGCATCTATAGGGTTATTTAAAGAACTTTTCTTCATCATGAATTGGTTCATGTAACAGAAAACAAGTATGTATCAGAGAAATTAGTCCTTCTCAGTTGGTGGCATCATTTGAGAAGATTTAGGAAATGCTGCCCTGCTGGGGGAAATTTGTCATGGGGGTATGCTTTGAGAATTTATAGTCACACACCTCCAGTTCCCACTCTGCTTCATGCTACAAATTAAGGATGTGAGTTCTCAGTCTCCTGATTTAACTCATATATCTGACACTTGTTGCCACTTTCATGTTAATCTTGTATCTCTCTGGAATCAAGGACCAAATTAAACTCTTTCATAAGTTGACGCAGACATTATATTTTATCACAACAGAAAAGACACTAGCACAAATTTATAAAAGTTTACAACTAAATTAGTTATTACATATACTTAAAGAGAAGTATGAAATATAAAAGGTTTACCTTATCGTTTAAATTCAAAGGGTCTCCCCCTCCCCAGGACTTGCAGGTACAAACAAAATAAAGATGGACACCATAATGCTTGAATAGATTGCTGACATTGTCAATTGTTTTCTCCAGAATACTCTGACTACATTTTACAGGTTTTTTTTGCCGTATTTTTTCTCATGACGTCTAAGTGTACTGACACATGCAAAAACTTTACCACACTGGTTACATTCATAGGGCTTCTCACCAGTATGTATTCTTTGATGTCTTTGAAAATTACATTGATGTGCAAAGGCTTTACCACACTGGTTACATTCATAGGGTTTCTCACCAGTATGGGTCCTTTCATGGCATTGAAGATGACTCTGACATGCAAAAACTTTACCACACTGGTTACATTCATAGGGTTTCTCACCAGTATGGGTCCTTTCATGGCTTTGAAGATGACTCTGACGTGCAAAGGCTTTACCACATTGGTTACATTCATAGGGTTTCTCTCCAGTATGTGTCCTTTTATGTCTTATAAAAGTACTGCTATGTGCAAAGGTGTTACCACATTCACTACATTCATATGGTTTCTCTCCAGTATGTATTCTTTTATGTATTCGGAGAGCATTACTATATGCAAAGGTTTTACCACACTGATTACATTCATAGGGTTTCTCTCTAGTATGTGCTCTTTTATGATTTTGAAAATTGTTGTGATGTGTAAAGGTTTTACCACATTGATTACATTCATAGGGTTTCTCACCAGTATGTATTCTTTTATGCATACGAAGATTACAGAGATATGAGAAGACTTTACCACATTGGTTACATTCATAAGGTTTCTCTCCAGTATGTGTTCTTTTATGTAATTTGAGAGTTCTGTGACAAGCAAAGGATTTACCACACACATTACATTCATAGGGTTTCTCTCCAGTATGTGTACCTTTATGTATCTGAAGAGTAAAGTGACGTGCAAAGGTTTTACCACACTGGTTACATTCATAGGGTTTCTCTCCGGTATGTGTTCTTTCATGGCATTGAAGATGACTCTGACGTGCAAAGGCTTTGCCACAATGATTACATTCATAGGGTTTCTCTGCAGTATGTGTTCTTTTATGTATGTAGAGAGTAGAAGAACGTGCAAAGGCTTTATCACACTGATCACATTCATAGGGTTTTTCTCCAGTATGTGTTCTTTCATGTAATCGTTGATTACTGTGGCATGCAAAGGATTTACCACACTGATTACATTTATAGGGTTTCTCTCCTGTATGTGTTCTTTTATGGACTCGGAAACTACCGTGATGTGCAAATGCTTTACCACATTGATTACATTTATAGGGTTTCTTTCCAGTCTGAATTCTTTCAAGCCTTTGAAGATGACTATGATTTGGAAAGGCTTTAACACATAGAGTATATTTAGCTGTTTTCCCTCCAGTATGACTTCTTTCATACCTGCAAGAATAATTGGCACATACAAGTTTTACCACATTCATTACACTGTTGAATCTTCATATTTGTATGAATTAATTTCATTAATTTAGTCTGACTGTAAAGAGGAATGAGGTCTTAAGGTTTTATCACTTTATTTACACTTGTGTTTTTCCCCTTCATTAAGGGTTGTTTTGCATCTTTGAAGATAACTGTGATAGTAAAAGCCTTTATTACATAGCTCACATTTATAGAATCTTTTTTCTAAATGAGATTTTTTACATATTTGAGAAGAACTGGAAAATCTCAATCTTCACCACACTTATTGCATTCAAAATTTTTCCTATGCTGTGAGTCATAGCTAAGTGAACTAGGACAAAAAGAAGTATTTACACATTTCTAGCACTCATAGGGCTTTTCTGCAGTGTGGTTTTGTTGATGAATTAACAATAAAGTTGCAAACCCAACTACTTGTAGACCTGAACCAAATTCAACAAATCTACTCAAAAGTGGGGACTACTACAAATCTCCTAATTGTTCTGAGGAGGAGGTTATGTTACATATTTCCATGTTCCTATGCTCATATGTCTTGTATCCAGAGTGACATATGAAATACCTAGTAAAGGAAGAATAACAAATAAAAGGTTTCCACATTGAATTTATAATTTTACTTTCTGTTCCTCATAAATGTGGTATAGTGTTTAAGGTTTCTCCACAACAAACACCCCTTGACTCTTGACTAACTGTTCCTCTCACTTAACTTAGTAAAGTTAAAACAAGTATGTATATAAGTAACATTGCTTTACTATGGACCGTTTGCTTATTAGAAGGTTTGGACATATACATATCACCTCTTCAATGTGTATTCCTTCTGTAATATGAGTGGTATAAAACTAAATGGATTGGCAGTTCTACACCATAGCTATAATGGGGTTTTGATTCAAATGGTGATACCTGTTAAGGCATTGTTTGTTTTCTTCCTTATTGGAATGCCTGGCAAACTCAATTCATCTTTCTGAAATTGAGGTATATGGTTTTATGAGAATTTTGTAAACATCCATACACTTTAAGTTGTGCTTCTTTACACTGTTGCTTTTCTTTAAAACTTTCAGGACACATAATATCTTCAGAGGCACATGTGTATTATCTTGCACAAAAAAAATTACCTTTTATGTAGCCAGGCGTCGGCCGATCTTTGTGAGTTCAAGGCCAGCCTAGTCTACAAGAGCAAGTTCCAAGACAGGCATAAAAGCTACAGAGAAACCAGGTCTCAAAAAAGAAAAAAAATTACCTTTTATGTCTTCTAGAACTCTGATAATGTTCCTCAATTCTATGGTCATCCCAATTGTATCCTAAAATATAGTACAAGAAAGTGTATGGTTTATTCTTGAAAATTGTGTAAAATTTAAGTTACCATCTTCAGTGAACCCTAGATCCATGCCTGATTTAGTCACCTCTGTGGTAATATTTTGCTTATGATCCAAAAAAGTTTGCCTGAAGATCAGAGTACAAAGCTAGACACAGTCATAGAGGCCAGTCAGTGGTTTTACACACAGTTAATATCAATAGCCATGCTAGTTAGCCAAAGAAGCCAGGCGATGGTGGTACACACCTTTAATCCGAGCACTTGGGAGACAGAGGCAGAAGGATCTCTGTTAGTTCAAGGCCACCCTGAGCTACACAAAACTGATCCACTCTAAAAGGGAAACAGGGCTCATAAAAGATGATCTCAGCACTTGGGATCCCATGCCTTTAATCGCAGCACTAGAGAGGAATATAAAGGGGGAGGAGACAGGAGCTCAATGCAGTCTGCAGTCATTCTGAGGACAGGATTGCCCATTCAGTCTGAGTACTGATAGAGGTGAGAACTCTCCAGCTACTTCTCTGATCTTCAGCTTTAACCCCAATATGTCTCTGGGTTTTTATTAAGAACAATTAGAATTCCTGTTACACACCTCATTCGTCGTCTTTCTCAATCAAATTACAGAAGAACATTAATAACCAAGGAACGGTTGTCCCCTTATTTGAAAACATAAAAGAAAATTCAGTCTTACCTATAGTAGTGAGATTCCTGTAGGTCTCCAGCATCACATCTTTGTAGAGATTTTTCTGAGAAGGATCCAGCAATGCCCATTCTTTCCAAGTGAAGTCGATATGTAAATCATCATAGGTCACTGTATTCTAAAATATCCCACACATGTAAACAACAAAAACTGTGATACTGACAATATTGTAAATGTATAATTCTTTGACAACATAGTCATATAATTCTGGTGCTCCCCACACTTACTCTATGACAAGGATATTATAATGTGTTTACCAAGTTAGTTTAGAAGGAAACTAAATAGGAGGTTCAACTCTGACATTTCTGTACTGTTTGAATGGGCTATCGCCTTGCAAGAGAAATGACCATTAACAAACATAAAGAGACAAGTAAGCAATCAACAGTACAAAGTACATATTAGAGAAATCATTTAAACAATTACTAACTACAAAAAATGAAAAATAAGATGGGCAATCTGGGTGGATTGACTCATGCCTTTAACCCCAGCATTCAGAAGGCAGAGGCAGGTTTATCTCCCCCTGAGTTTTATGCCAACCTAATCCATGCATCAGTTCAGAAGTACATATTAAGACCTGGACTCCTGGGTAAAAATCATGCAAAGAAACATAAAAGATAGATCTCAGAGCTCACATTCATTCATTCATCCATCCATTCATCCATTTATTTATTTATTTATTTATTCATTCATTTATTCTGAAATTCTTGCAAAGTGTTAGGGATTCATCTTTCAAAAACTTGAAATGCCACAGTTTAAAGTGTAATGTCACTAAGATCTTACCAAAAAGCACTGCATGTTTAAACAGTTACAAATGGACAATGAGATATAAATATTGATCACAAACAAACAACACAGAGGAGAGATGACTCAATAATAAAGAGCTCTTTCTGGTCTTGCATATAGGGCTTAATTCCCAGCACTTACATGGGGTATCACAACTATCCATTATCCCAAGTTCAAGGTTTCTAAGACAATCTTTTGGCTACTATGAGGATGAGGTACCCACATGGTGCGTATCCATGAATACGGGAAAAATACTCATATCCATTAAAAGTATTATGTAGAGAGCTGCGTGGAGCCACACCTAAAAGATGGCGCCAGTTCCGCCTTCCACAATCCTGAAAGTGAGTGCTCTCAGTGGTAAACAACACCTTATTTGGCTAAGGCTAGGAGCATGTAATGATTGTAAGCTGCTTGCATATAAGTGGACCTATGGACAGTGCCCACGTGGCGATCCAGGATTGGCTGCCCAGGGCTACTTAAGGGCAGGGAGGAGATGGCCTGGAGAGAGAAACTATTGTAACAAGGTCCTGAGTAAACTGCTTGCAAGAAGACCTCCAGTGTTGCGTCTTCCTTGCTGTTCGAGGCAGTCGCGACAGTATTAAAAAAACAAACAGAACAGGCAGAAAAAAAGTCTTACACACGCAATCCAATGACTCAGAAGGCTCAGGAAGTACTAATGTCATGAACACATGCCATCCTGGGAAAAACAATGACAGACTCTGCAAATTTCTAAATTCAAAATATGGGTGAAGCTCAGCACAGCAAAATATGAAGCACAAATAATAAAAACCCAGAGTCAGATATTATGAAGCTGAAGATCAGAAAAGCAAAACAGTCATAGCCAAGTCACTAGAGAGTGCTCATCTCTAGCAAGCTTCTGACAAACAAAGGGATGATCCTGTCCTCAGCATGACTGCAGACTGCAATGATTTCCATTAAACCTCAGACTGCAAGGAAGTCTTGTCTCCTCCTGCCTTATATACCTCTTTCTGCCCAGCCATATCACTCTTGTCTCCTCCATCTTCCTAGTGCTGGGGTTAAAGACCTGTGATTCCTTAGTGCCAGGAGCACCTTTGTGTGAATTCTATTTCTCATTTTAGACAGATTCATTCTCATGTAGGCCAGGGTGGCCTTGAGTCCTAGGATTAAAGGTGTGTGCCACCATTTCCTGGCCTCTAGTGGCTTAACTCTGCACTCTGATCTTTAGGCAAGCTTTATTTACTAAACTACAAATAAAATATCACTACAAGTATGTGCTTGACATGTACAAAAACCTGCATTCCAGGACCATCACCCAATAATATAAAAACAACAATTCAAGAATGTTGGCCCATTTTTAATCTTAGCACTTGGGAGTCAGGGGGATCTCTGAGGTCAAGGCAAGCCTGGTTCACAGAGCTACTGTGAGGACAGCCAGGCTTACACAGACAAACTTTGTCTTCAAAAACAAACAAAAATAAAAAATAAAAATGAAAACAGCAGGCTACCAAATTAGCTGAGGAATGAATAACAAATGTTTCTATTGTATCGTACGTGACTTAGGAATAGAATCTGTAATGGTGGTGAAGGCATGACAGCACAGGAAGGATACTACAACACACTATACTCAAAGAACATGAAATGGGTTAGAAGCACTCATATCACAGCCCCAGTGAAGAATTTCATCCAGAAAGGCTTTTCCTACCAAAGGTTTTACAAGCAACACAAAGCAAGACATCAAAGAGAAACACATGTTCAAATACATCATGCTACCTGGGAGATTTTTCACTTAATATACTACATTCTGACCCATGTCACTATAGGTTCATGGTCATCCATTAAGAAAATGCATTTAGTCACTTCAATGATTTTCATATTCTGCAGCAGCCCCTACACTGGAAATGTCCAAAGTATCTCCCAACACTAAAGGCAATCTCTTGTCTGTGAGATCTTGTAAAATTAGAAAACAAGTTACATCTTTCCAATATACAATGGCACAGAATATCCATTTGCACTCCAAAAGAGAGGAACGGGAACACAGTGAAGGAAGATTGGACCAAGACAAGACTGAAGCACAACAGGACAGAACATCAAATCCTACAGCTCTGTCTCAGATGCATGGGGCTTCAGTTTCCATGGGCTTAGATAGCCCTATCCCTGAAACTTCTCATACATTTCTCTCTTTGGGTACTTCTATTTCATATATACAGTCACCTCTCTGTGGCAGATATCTTATAGCTTTGGTATTTCAACATTTTGTGGTCTCAAAATGCAACCCAGGCTTTATCCTCACAGCTTCACGCAATGGACTCTCACAGTCTCCATACTGGGTTTCTGCCACTCCTAAACAGACGCCTGCAATGCCTGAAACCACAGACTAAGAATCCATAACCTTAAATTTTGATTCTTTCTTGTTTCCAAGGCTGCCACATCAAGGGTGATCTTGCAAAATTTGACTTCTTAATTGGGATGGACACTAACATACCTGGACCACACGTGCAGCAGGTTTTGTATGAAATTGCTTCCTGGGAGTAGGAAACACTATGCTTATTCCTTATATAAATTAAAGGTGAGTGGAGTCTCACCCTTAGGGCACCTTGATAGGTTTCCACTCCAGAGCAACAAGGTCAGAGTTGCAGGTGTCCAAACCAAGGTTGCTAACACAAAACACCATAAGATAAGCTTGCCAGTTGTGCACTGTGTTCCTGTTTTCTATGATCACAGCCCTACTCCTGAAACCTTGTTGTCATGGTCATTGGCTCAATTCTTTATCACTTACCCTAGGAATGTGCTTTTGACCAATGAAAGGTAACTTTTTCTTTAGCTTCAAGCCTCCTGAAAGAGATGAAGTTTTAGGCTAGAGGAGAAGAGGCGAGGAGGTATTAGAATTAGGAATGAATTGGAATAGAGGCAGAAGAATAGAGACATGTTTGGAACAGCATGTTCACCCTCAGATACCTTAAGTGCTTTCGCTTGCTGTAGCATTTCATCTGAAGGCCCAGACACTATCCCTCCTCATTATTGTGTGCTAGTCCCCAACTTGGACACAGACCCCTGCTTGAACAAAGGACACACCATCTGCCAGAAGTTCATATAGGCCACCTGCCTGCAGAACTCCCACACTCTCTCAGTGTCCCTTCAATACTATCCTCAAGACTCCACCCCTATTTGCTTTTTTCAACCCCAAACTTGGACACAGACTCTCTGATGGAACTATAGCCATGCCTATTGCCAGATTTCCAGCCTCTATCTTGGGAGGGGGGAACGCATGTCTAACCATAGGCCACACAAACCAGAAGATCAGAGAGCAGATAGAAACCGAGGAACAAAACACCCTACTAATAAAGACAAATTGAGAAATCAGCACCTTAGACCCATACACACCTCAAACCCAGATACCTAGACACCAGAGTAAGTGCACAATCAACAACACCCAGGGCAATATGTAACTACAACAGTCTTGCTATCCTATGACAGCAAGTCCTGAATATTTCAACATAACTGAAGCACAAGCAAAAGACAATAAGACCAGCTTTATGAAGATGATAGAGGTCCTTAAAGAGGAAATGAATAAATACATTAAAGAAAGCTAAGGGAAAAAAAGTTGATACAAATGAATGAATCTGTTCAAGTTCTGAAAATGGAAATAGCAGCAATTAAGAAAACGTAATCTGAAGGAATTCTATAAATGAAAATCTAGGTAAGCGAATGGGAATTATAAAGGCAAGCTTCAAAAAAAGAATACAAGACATGGAACTATCGGCGAATCAATCCCACACCAGTTATGTTTTAAGGGGTTATTTATTTTGGGGGGTAAAACTTACATACACCATAAACCGTCAGGAAGGGAGCCTAGTCACTGGAGCAGGAGCCGGGACCAAGCGCCGGAACCAAGAGAGCCTGATCCGGGATCTGTGGCTCTTTTTAAAAGAGAAATATACCACGCCCCAGTGGGCTGGTATTTCAGCGGCTATTGGCTGATGGAGTGGAAGGCACTCCCCGTTGCACTGTGGGCTCGTGCTTCAGCGACTATTGGCTGAGACAACGGAAGATACTCCCACAACATGGAACAGAGAAGTTCAAGCAGTGCATATGCAATAGAAGAAATGAATGTATCAGTCAAATAAAATGTTAAATATAAAAGGTTTCCTGAAATATAACATTCAGGAAGTCTAGAACACTATGAAAAGATCAAAGCTAAGAATAATAGAAACGAAGGGGAAGAATTCCAGCTCAAAGGCCCAGAAAATATTTTCAAATGCATTTTAGTCAAAAATTTTCCTAAAGGACACCAGGAAAACACACCCCACAGAATCAACTAAACAGGGCTTGTGGGGGTGCACAGAGACTAATGCA